ACTTTATAATTTATCAATAACACAGCCACAGTAATAACCATCATACTGGACTTCCCCAGCGTAACCATCAAAAAAACGACACATCATCTTTGTGGCTTATATTTGATTACGTATCAGCTACATAATATATATATAGTAATTGTTTTAATTATTATCGTTATTATTTTTTTTTGTGCCTAACGCAATTGATGATGATGCCACATAAATCACATATCCGGGTGGTTACACTATACGTAGTAGTTCATCATACTGCATATCAATACTGGATCTGATCTGATTAAAACTTGGATGGATAGAAAAGTTTTGTCACAAACCTAGCTAATAACTGAACAGTTATTGGACCGGTCATTTGACCGGTCATATGACCGGTTATATGACCGGTCAATAACTGCGGTCGGTCGGTAATGAGTCAATGACCACCAATAACCGACCGATAACCGACCGTGACCGACCGGACCCACCCCTAATTAGACCTATGTCATGCGCCCTGTTTGAAAATGCTGGAATTCCACAAGCTAATTCCCATAAAATAATGCCTAAACTATAAATATCACCTGCCTGAGAATATGGTGATTGACAACGAAGTATCTCCGGTGCCATATTTGGTATGACTCCATAAAGTTTCTTTTCAGTCATCTGCGTTTCATTCATTGGTCGACATAGTCCAAAATCTGAAATAAAGGCATCTTCCTCGTTAAATAATAAAATATTTTCACAATGAAGATCGCCGTGTACCCAACCTTTATTATGAATATTTTGAAATTCTGTACATATAGACTGTGCTATACTTAATTTATTTTCTAGAGTGAGTATATCAAACTTTTTCTGCAGGAATCGTCGAAGATCACCTTGTGGTGCATAACGCATTACGAACATATATTGTGATGTAGAAGGATTTTTAGTAACGCCATATAAATGACAACAATTAAATTGAGCTTGAATCTGCATTTAAAATAAAATTCATTTAATATTTCTGTGAACATTCCTAAGTAATTGAATTATTTAGAATATATACCTCCTTAAGAAAAATATGAACAGAGTCTTTTTCACTTTTTAATTGTTTTAATGCAATAGTACAGGGATCAGATCGAGTATGATATTCGTCTCCGTCTATTATGGAAACCCATTTTATTCCCTTATCCCAACTTGCAGAATATACAGCACCGAACCAGCCTCTGCTAATAGATTCTATTTTAATTAGTGAGTCGTACGGGATCCATTCAGGTAACTGGACATAAGAAGATGAAATTTGTGCTTGTCGAATAAACCCATCAATTTGTAAATTTTCACTGGTCCAGTTAGAAAACTCGCTTTTTAATACTCTATGAAGACAATTGTCGCATAAATATGTGGGTTCTACAAACATATATTCTAATGTCGAAGGATTTTGGGTAATTCCATATAAGCAACAACAATCAGATCGATCTTCTTGAAGCTGCTTATTTGTAAGTAAAGACTCTTTCATAAATTTTTTAGTACAACTGAACAGGGATCTGATCGAATATAATAGCGTTCATTGTTAAAAATTTGTATTCTTTTAGCTCCTTGGCTCCATTTTGCAGAAATTATCGCACCAAGTTCGCCTCTATTAATATTGTCAGAGGTAAAACCGACACCTCATGGAACCTGCGAAATGGACGTCATTGTGGCATACTTACCTAATTAGAG